CAAACAAAATTGTTTCTAGGGTTTTGATCGAACAATGAAGAAGTCGAAACTCGATTACTCCGCTTCACAGACTCGATTCGGGCTTGTTCAGTTTCTATTGCTTGTTCTACTCTTTTACTTTCTCTGCATGAGCTTCGAGATCCCATTCATCTTTACATCCGGGTCCGGTTCCGGGTCCGATGATGGGTCTTCTTCGTCTTTTGCTGACGCATTCCCAAGACAGATGCTTGTTGGTAGGGAATCAAACTGGGTCGTTGGAGAAGAAGACCCACATCGACCTTTCAAGGATCCGGGTCGGGTGGGTCGGGTACAGCTTCGTTCACCGGAGAGGAAAATGAGGGAGTTTAAGACCGTCTCTGAAATCTTCGTCAACGAGAGCTTCTTCGACGGCGGCGGAGCAAGCGATGAGTTCTCCATCTTCCACAAAACCGCAAAGCATGCGATTTCAATGGGGAGGAAAATGTGGGATGGTCTCGATTCGGGTTTAATCGAGGCTGAGAAAACTCCGGTCAAAAACCGAACGGAGAAATGTCCGGATATGGTTTCGGTTACTGGGTCCGAGTTCGTGAAACGGAGCCGGATCTTGGTTTTGCCGTGTGGCTTAACGCTAGGATCTCACATCACCGTCGTGGCTACGCCGCATTGGGCACACGCCGAGAAAGATGGAAGGATTACGGATTCGAAGAAAAGAGATGATAAAACGGCGATGGTGACGCAGTTCATGATGGAATTGCAGGGATTGAAGGCGGTNGANGGTGAAGATCCGCCTCGGATACTCCATTTCAANCCNCGGATNAAAGGTGATTGGAGTGGAAGGCCAGTGATTGAGCAGAATACTTGTTANCGAATGCAATGNGGCTCTGCTTTANGTTGTGATGGTCGTGAATCTAGNCATGAAGAAGAATCTGGTATTGACTTAAACAATTGCTTTACGTTGTGGTTGTTGGACTAGAGTTTGACTTTAAACAATTGTTTAATTTGACTTCGAATTTGTTTATTGTAAAGGTTCGTTTTTTTTATAATTCTGATTTGGTTTGTGGGTTTTGTGAAGTTGATGGAGAGGTGAAATGTGAGAGGTGGAAGAGGGATGTTGTTGG